AGAACTACAGCCAACATCATACTTAATGGTGAGAAACTAGAGATATTTCCCCTAAGATTGGGTACAAGGCAAGGATGTCCTTTCTCCCTCAGCTCCTATTCAGCATCATACTAGAAGTGCTAACTCATGCAATAAGACAAGAAAAGGAAATAAAAAGGATGCAGATTGGGAAGAAAGAAAAACTGTCTTCGTTCACAGAGCACATGAAAGTCTATGTAGAAAATAACAAAGAATAGAAAAAAACCTGCTGGAACTAATTACAGCAAAGGAGTATAGTGAGATTGTAGGATACACGTTTAGTAAATAGTCAATTTACGAAAAAAGTCAATTGCTTTCCTCTACACCAGCAATGAACAAGTGGAATTTGAGATTAAAAATACAATACCATTTACATTTGCACCAGGAATAAAACATATATGTATAAGACTCACAAAATATGTATAAAACCTATATGAGGAAAACTACAAAGCTCTGGTGAAAGAAATCAAAGACCATCTAACAAATGGAAAGATACTCTATATTCATGAGTAGGAAGACTTAATATTGTTATGATGTCAGGTTTTTCCCCCAATTTGCTCTATAGATTCAATGAAATATCAATTAAAATCCCACCAAATTATTTTGTGCATATTGAAAAACTGTTTCCAAAATTTATATGAAAATGCCAATGATCAAGCACAGCACTGAATAACAAGTGCAGTCAGAGGACTGACATTACCCACCTTCAAGACTTACTGTAAAGCTACAGAATTCACAATACTGTGGTACTGGCAAAAGAACAGACAAATAGACAAATGGAACAGAATAGAGAGCTCCAGAATTTAACCCACACAAATATAGTTATCTTAGACAAAGGAACAAAGGCAACACGATGGAGAAAGGATAGTCTTTTTAACAAATGGTGCAAGAACAAATGGATATCCACAATGAAAAAAATGAATCTGGACATAGATCTTACACAAAACTTAACTGATTTAGACATAAACCTCTCACAAAAATTAACTCAAAGTAGATCATAGACCTAAATGCAAAACACGAAGCAATGTAGCTCCTAGAAGATAACAAAGGAGGAAATCTAAGTGAACTAAAGTTTGGTGATGAGTTTTTAGACACAACACCAAATGCATGATCTCTGAATGAAAAATGGATAAGCTGGACTTCATTAAAATTAAAAAATTCTGCTCTGGAAAGACGTTAAGAGAATGAAGGGCTGAGCAGTGGCTCAGCCTATAATCCCAGAACTTTGGGAGACCGAGGTGAGTGGATTGCCTGAGCCCACGGTTTGAGACCAGCCTGGGCCGCTTGGCGAGATTTCATCTCCACAATAAGTCAAAAATTAGCCAGGCATGGTGGCACGTACCTGTAGTTCCAGTTACTTGGAAGGCTGAGGTGGAAGGATCGCCAGAGCCCTGCAGGTCAACACAGGGATGGCCCTGAATGTGCCATTGCACTCTGGCCTGGACGATGGAGTGACGATGGAGTGAGACTCCAACTCAAAAAAAAAAAAAAAAGAATGAGAAAACAAGGCGCAGAGTGGGAGAAAGTGTCTGCAAAGCATATACATCTGATCAAGGACTTGTGTCCAAAACATACAAAGAACTCTGAAACTCAACAATAAGAAAACAAAAGTTCAATTTAAAAACTGAGCAACAGAGCTAAACCAGACACCTTACCAGAGAAGATACTCGGATTGCAAACAAGCACATGAGAAGATGCTCAGCTTCAAATGGAACTGCCAATTAAAGAATAAGGAGACACCATCACACACCTATTAAGAGAGCTAAAATCCAAACGTCTGACACCACCAAATGCTGGTGAAGATGTAGAGCAACAGGAACTCTCATTCCCTGTGGGTGGCTGTGTAAGATGGTACAGACACTGAGAAGACAGTCAGATACTTCCTCACAAGGCTAAACACAGTCTACCATACAATCCAACAACCATGCTCCTAGGCATACAACCACATGAGTCAAAAAGTATGTCCACACAAGAACCTGCACGCAAATGTTTATAGCAGCTTTATTACTCATAACCGCCAAAACCCAGAAACAACCAAGATGCTCCTCAAAAGGTAAGTGGATAAACAAACAGTGGCGCATCCATACAATGGAATGCTATTCAGCAATAAACAAAAACGAACATCAAGCCACAAACAGACATGGAGGAACCTTAATTGCTTACTGGTACATAGAAGAAGCCAGTCTTAAAAGGCTACATGCAGTATAATTCCAATGGTATGGAAACATTCTGGAAAAAAGTAAAACTGGAGAGATGATAAAAATACAGCAGTGGTTGCCAGGGTTCTTGTGGCAGGGGGCAGGGTGAGGTGAGACAGGGAATAGGAGTGAGTGGGAAGCACAGGGGACCTTTAGGCAGTGAGACTATTCAATATTATCCTGTGCTAGAGGTTGCATGGCTCCATGCCGTTGTCAAAACCCACAGAACTGTACAACACAAAGAACGAAACTTAATGTAAACTATGTATGTTAGTTAGTAATAATACATCAATATCGGGTCATCAGTTATAACAAATGCAGCACACTGATGCAAGACGTTAATAAAAGAGTAAGGTGGGGGGGACTCTATACCATTGCTGAATTTTTCTGTGTACCTCAAACAGTTCTAAAAAGTAAAATCTATTAATTAAATAAAAACCCTATGTGGACAGAGTATTACTCCTGTTTTATAGACATAATTATCACTCTCATTTTAAGGAGGGACAGTTTATATACCCTCTTTAATAGAAGAGGAAATTAAAGCTTAAGGAAGCTGCCTGCACTGTTCAAGGTCGCACAGCTGCCAAGGGACAGGGTCAAGCTTTAGTGGACAGGTGGCCAGAAAGTCCTCAGGGTGTGATGCCCAGAACCTACCGAGACTTGGAACAGACACAGACATTTGAGTCCCTGCCCTGCTCTCTCTGCTCCCCTCCCTGCATCGTGGCCCTTCGGAGGGCAGAGCTGGGACTGCACCCCACTCGTGGAGCCTGCTGTATACGCGGTCACCGCTGGCCTCTTCCTGCTCGCCTTCTACGCGCAGGGGGTACAGAGATGTCTGCAGAAGTCCACGCCTGTCCAGCTGGTTCTGCCCCAAGAGGTGAGTTGATGTGCAGAACAGAAGTATAGCTCAGGGAGGGAGATTTGACCTTTGTCCCAGTTGCCATGGCACCAACTAGACCAGGGTGTGGGCACAAGCCGGTGCTGCCACCACCACCTCTCCCAGCATGGGCAGCCATAATTGAATGGGACCTCTGATGGCATCAGGTCCCACCATCACCTCCCACCATGGCCAGGACTGAGGGCCCTCAGCTCATGGAGAGAGGACATCTGTCATGGGAATTGTCCAGACCACCCTTGGATGGGAACCGGTGGTGGAGCAGAGGGTAGTTGTCCCAGGTGCTCACCATGAAGCTAACCTCAGTCAAGACAGTGGAAATTCCTAGGACAATTGGCCCCACTGAGATGCTGACCAGGGGCCCTAAGATTCTTGCCGAGGGTCTGAAAGCCATCAGGCAAGAAGGACACACGACCATTGGACGCCTCATTGGAGGACCACAGGGAATCCTGGAAGCAGAAGAAACCATAGACCCCTGGACTAGCTGAGGGAGGATTTTTTTTTTTTTTTTTTGAGTTGGACTCTCACTCTGCCGCTTAGACTGGAATGCAGTGGCACGCTCCCGGCCACCGCAGCCTCAACCTGCTGTGCTCTGGCGATCCTTCCGCCTCAGCCTTCCAAGTTGCCAGAGCTACAGACGTGTGCTACCATGCCTCGCTAGTTTTTTTGATTTATTGTAGAGACGAGGTCTCACCAAGTTGCCTGGGCAGGTCTCGTGTCCGCGGGCTCAGGCAATCCACTCACCTCGGCCTCCCAAAGTGCTGGGATTACAGGCTGAGCCACCGAGCCCAGCCGGGAGGACCTTTTGACTGGGGGAAAAACAGGAAAGAATCTGAGAATATGGTGAGAGATCTAAGATTCTTCTTTTTTTTTTTTTTTAACCATCAGAAATCTTTTTAATGGGGACATCCAAAAACTTTTTAATAAGAGGGCAGGATCCAGGGTTAGTTTTTGTAGCCACGGCTGGCCCGCCGGCCTCTGGCACGCTCGAACTTCTGGCTCTTGGAGCGGACGTAGGGTTTGGTGTGGCTGTGTGGGGTTCCTGGATCCTTGCCGAAATGCCTGTATACCTCCCAGTCCTTGCGAGGACCAGAGAGCAGGACGGTGCCGTGGCCCTTGGGGGAGTCCAGGGCCAGCTGGTCAAAGGTGAGGATCTTGCCCCCTGCCTTGAGGATGCGGCTGCGGGCCCGGCTGCTCACATGCAGTGTGCATACCTTCGGTTGGGGCACCTCCTAAATCCACACGTCATCTGTTTTGGTCCCTATGACCACCGCCGTCTTGTTTTCCTGGCCAGGAAGCTTCATCTTCCAGATCATCCGGAAAAGGGACAGAGGCAGCCGGTTGCTGCGGCTCATAAACAACCTCTTCAGCACAACCTGGTTGAAGGTGGAGTTGGTTCTTCTGGCCAGAAACCTGTACAGCTGGACCAACAGCCTCAGGTAAATGTTCTGGCTCTTGGGCTCTTTGGGCCAAAACTTTCGGTCCTTGTTGTGGCGGATGTCGGCTCCCATGATAGCGCCTCCCCCTCAGCCAAGTCCGGACCTAAGATTATTCTTTAGCTTAAGAAGCATCTTCCCCTCCAAATGCCTAGGTTGGAGCTCCTGACCTGGGCCATTCACAATGGCCTTTCTTCCACTTAATCTTATTTAAACTCCCAACAGCCCTGCAAGATGGATGGATGTGTCCCCATTTTAACAGGTGAGGCACAAGAGGGTCACAGAGTTGAGATCGCCTTGTGTGCACCGTCACACGGGACGTGACCAGAACTACTCCTGAGACCTCTGACCCCAACCCTCTTTTCCACGACCCCACAATGCCCAGCTTTTACAATGTGTTCAGGAACCTGGCAGAGTTTCACCAAAAGAAATGCCATCCTTCAGCCCCACTCCTGCAGGACCCAGCAAAGAGCTGTCTCTTCTCTCCGTAGCCCGTAGCCTGGGCCACTGAGGGCAGGTAGTTCCACCCACCCCCTGGGTTGTGGTTACTCTGCTTACCATGGTCACCCAGGGGGAAAAGCCTGGGGTGTGGCCACTGAGAATGACCCTGAGCCCAAAGGAAAAAGTCGGTATCTCCTCTTCCACCCGAGAGCCCCAAAGCAAGGACACCTGGCCTTTGAGGGCAGGGACTGGATGGGTTAGGGCTTCCGCTTACAGTCCTGGCTCTGCCACGGGCTAGTTCCATGGAAGGCTCAAGAGCCTTAAGTGCTCAGACCTTTGAGCCAATAATTTCATTTCTGAGAGTCTCTCATAATCAGATCCAGATGAGGACTCCCGCGTTAAGATGTCACCACTGTGTCACTCCTAAAGCAGGCATTTGGAAACCATCTCAGTGAACTGTGGGATATCAACTTATAAATGACTTTCTAGCAATTGCAACATATGTTTATAAAGAATTTGAGGCCAGGCGCAGTGGCTCACATTTGTAATCCCAGCACTTTGGGAAGCCGAAGCAGGAGGATTACTTGAGTACAGGAGTTCAAGACCAGCCTGAGCAACATAGCGAGAACTCACCCTTACAAAAAATTTAAAAACTTAGCTGGCCATCGTGGCATGCACATGGAGTCGTAGCTACTTGAGATGCTGAAGCAGAAAGATTGCCTGAGCCCAGGAGGTCGAGGCTGCAGTGAGCCATGATGGTAACATTGCACTCCAGTCTGGGGAACAGAGTGAGACCCCAACTCTAAATAAGCAAATAAATAGTTTGAAATAACATTTTAAAACTTCTAAAGTTAAGTGTGACATGAGATGCACAATTGCCCACTAAGTATGATCCGGACGATGTCAAGTAAAATGTATAGAAAACAGACCAGGAAGAGAGGCACCACCATGTTACATTGGTGTAGATGGATGTAGAAATTCAGCGAAATCACAATTTTGTCTATTTTTTATTTATGTTTTGAGTTGGATTCTCACTCTGTCACCTAGGCTGGAGTGCAGTAGCATGCTCACAGCTACTGCAGCCTCGACCTGCTGGGCTCAGGAGATCCTTCCACCTCAGCCTTCCAAGTAGCTGGAACTACAGGCATGCACCACCACGACTGTCTAATTTTTTGGTTTATTGTAGAGATGAGATCTTGCCAAGTTGTCTAGGCTGGTCTCGAACCCGTGAGCTCAGACAATCCTCTCACCTCAGCCTCCCAAAGTGCTGGAATTACAGACATGAGCCACTGCACCTGACTGAAATCACAATTTTAAAATCCCATAAAGTTTGTGTGTGTGCATGTGTATTTATATAAAAGGTGACAAGATGATTCTAGAATTTGTTTGGAAATGCAATGAACCCAGAACAACCAAGTCAACCCTGGGGAAGAAAAACAAACTGGAAGAACATATCGCTGGACACCAAGACCATTGTCAAGCTACAGCAGTTAAGACAATGTGGTATCGATGTGAAGATATACCCATAGCATAGACTGGAGTGTCCAGGATCAGATCTCCGCTGTGGTACTCGGTGCTTGGCAAGTGGCACAGGAGTGCAGCGGAAGGAAAGTCTTTTCAGTAAGCAGATCAAACAGCATACCCATGAGGAAAAGGCCTTGAGACCCTTCTTCACACACCAGGCACAAAACTATTCCAGATAACATGCTGATCTAGATGTGAAAGAGAAACCAACAAAGCTTCTAAACACAAGAGAAAATCTTCATGACCTCCAGGCCAAGAATTTCTTAAACAGAAAACAGAAAGCACTAACCGTAAAGAAAAATAATTGATGAATTCCGCACTAAGATTTAGAACTTCATTTGTTGAAAGACACCACTGAGTAGAAAGACAACCTAAAGCATGGGATAATATATCTGCAATAGATACAGCTGACAAAGGACTTATGTCCAGAATATATAAAGAACTCTACAGATCAATAAGAAAAGGAGACAATGTGGTTAAAAATGAGCAGAAGAAACGGATACGTACTTCACCAAGAGACTTTACATCCCATGGCCGGATTAAGCCATAGCAGGTCATAAGAATAAGTAAGGCTGGGCTCGGTGACTCAGCCTGTAATCCCAGAACTTTGGGAGGCCAAGGTGAGTGGATTGCCTGAGCCCGTGGGTTTGAGACCAACCAGGCAACTTAGTGAGACCTCATCTCTATAATAAATCAAAAATTAACCCTGCATGGCAGAATGTGCCCGTAGTTCCGGTTACTTGGAAAGCTGAGGCGGAAGGATCTCCAGAGCCCAGCAGGTTGACACTGGGGTAGCCATCATTGTGCCACTATACTCCAGCCTGGGCAACAGAGTGAGACTCCAACTCAAAAAAAAAGAGAAAAGAATAAGAAAAAGGGAAAGACTGACACTAAGGGGTGGGCAGGGATGTGGAGCCACTGGAACTCTCACTGCTGGTACAGTGTAACAGTGTACAACTGTTTTGTGAAACTGTTGGGCAGAATTCACTAAAGTGAATACACACGTATGCCATAACCCAGTGGCCCCAAGAGGCTTGTACAAGAATGTTTTTAGCAGCATTATTTGTACTTGCCAAAAACTGGAAACAACCCACAAGTCCATTAACAGTTGACTAAGACCAGGCGTAGTAGCTCAGGCCTGAAATCCCAGCATTTTGGGAGGCAGAGGTGGGAGGATTGCTTGAACCCAGAAGTTTGCTACCAACCTGGGCAACATAGTGAGAACTCATCTCTACAAAAAAATAAATATATAAAATAAAAATGCTAAAGTTACTTTTTAAAAAAATCTCACAGACTAGACAAATAACATGTGGCACAGTTATACAACAAATTCAACTTGGCCGTGAGAAGGAGCAACTCACAACCACACCCAACAACATGGATGATCCTTACAGACGTGAGGGTGAGCGGAGGAAGCCAGACACAGAAGAGAATTGTACGCTGTGTGATTCCATTTGTGTAAAGCACACAAAACAGACATCATGAGTCCGTGTTGACAGAAGCCCGGACAGCGATTTCCTTGGAGGGGGACCCTGGGGCACCGAGAATGTCCCTGATCCGGGTGCTGGGTGTGCAGGGCCGGGTGAGAGTACTCTCACCCTCACTGGGTCTCCTCCTCATGCTCCAGCACCGCTCCCAAGCTGGACCTCTCCCTGGGCTGCTGGAAGAGTTCAACGCCCGCCTCGAGACTTCATGGCCAGGTTCCTAGACAACTTTCTCCAGCTGAAGACCCCCCAATCACTCCCGTGGTCCTCAGCAGTGCCCTCGCCTCATCACTGTCCAGGCCTCCCCCCCCCCACTCGCCATCTTGGCCAGAAACCCCTCTC